GTAGCGCGGCTGGTCGACGTACAACACGTGCGCGTTCCTGGGCCGCCCGTGGCGCCAATCCTGTCCGCTCGTTTCTCCTCCTCCTCCTCCTCCTGCTCATGATCATCACCATCCTCATCACTGATCCTCCTCCTCCTGTTCCTCCTTCTCCTTCTCCTCCCCTTCCGCCTAACCGTCTAACCAAGAAGCAAATCAACTAGGCAACGTGGACGAGCAGAAAAGCGAGGGCGCCAGGTGCACGAGCGGCGATGACAAACGAGGCGATAAGAAAAGGCAAAGTCGAGTGAAAACCCAGCGCATTGCTACTGCAGGCCAGTGCTGCGCAAGAGGGCGTGTGGTGCAACGCATGAAAGCTCCCCCCCCTCCATCCTCTTCTCCTCCCCCGCCTGTTCCAGGAGTACGGGTTCTCGGACAGCTTGCCCGGGAACGTGCCCCCCTCATCCCGGACACCGAAGAGAATGAGGGGGCCGTGCTCGGTGGTCATCCCCTGGAAGGGGGGAGGGGAGGAAGGGGACAAAGGAGAGGATGAGGAGGTCGAGCGTGCCCAGAGGGACTCATACCTAGATAGGAGAGGATGAGAAGGAGCTGGCGGAGAAGGAGGAAGAGGAGGAGGAGGAGGAGGAAGAGGAGGGATAAGATCGGTGGGTTGCACAACCTTGAAGGCGGCTGGTCGCTGATCGAGGCGGAAGGCAAACCCACGAACGGCCAAAACAAACTTGCAATCACAAGTCCCGGCGATGAGCTTGACCGCAAGTAGACGCTGATTTCAAGGAGCACGGAGGCAGAGGAGGAGGAGGAGTAGGAGGAGGAGATGAAGGAGGACGAGGAATAGGAGGTCGAGGACGCGGATCGGGAGAAGGATGCCGATGCCAAGGGCAGAGCGGCCACGCTGCGGGGCGCGGGGGCGAGATGCCGCAAGGAATCGGCGGCGCGCCCGCGGGGGAAGGCAGAGGGGGGCGGCCTTCTCAGAAGGCGGCAAGGCTTCTCAGACGAAGCCAGGGCGAGGATTTGTTCGGATGAGGATAAATCGGGAATCTCTGAGGTCCGGCGGCTCTGGAAGTTGTCTCGGGCGCCGCGGCCTTCGCTCAGAGCGTTTCGGGACGCTCTGAGAGCGCTCCGGAACGCTCTGGAACGGTTCTATCCTCGTCCCCGCCCCGTCCGAGTTTCTCCCACATTCTGGAGAGCCTTTCTTCATCCTCTCCCGGATGACATGATGGGATCTTTCAGGGAGTTCCTGGTCCGCTATGGCACGCGTGCACGGATATGGGTGGAGGGGGGAGGAGGTCAGATCTGGCGCGAGCGGCGCACCTAGTTCTGACTTCCCCCCTCGGCGGGCCACCGAGGAGGTCAAGGAAACCAGGTCACCAAGATCCAAACCGCCACCGCGGAAAGCCCGCCACTCTTTGAGCCAGCGGCCGGAACGGACACCGTCCCGGTCGGTCGGGCGTGGGCATGGGCGCGAAGCTGAGCACACAGGACAACTTGGGCGAGAGCCCACAAGGACCGCGCGGAACACAGGCCACAGTGATCCAAGCAGCCACCGCAGGAAGCGCAACACGGACGGCCGGTGGGGGGGGGAGCCCCGGGAATCCATGTGAAGGAGATCCAGCCAGCAACCGCAGAGAGATCGTGGCCGAGAAGCATTTTGCCAATTCGTCATAGATTTTGATATTATCTTCACCCGGTCGGTGGGCACTTCTTCTGAATGTTCTGGTAGGTCATTTTTAAGTCGTGGTCCCAGGTTAAGTCTCGGAGAAGATGTGCTTGATGCCGTGGCTCACTCTTAGGAACATCCAGTCAGAACTGTACCAGAGTAAACGTGTCTGTATGGAACCGGCCGAGGGGAGGGAGGCCGGCCGCGCGGGAACACGGTTTTACGAAGCAGAGATAGCTGCAGCGATCATGGCAGTAAGTGTCGTGTTGCCATCATCGCTGCCGGCGCCAACGTATGTAAAGGGAAGCGGCGGCGGCAGCGGCAGAGCACACGAGGGGAGCGTCGCCAATGACTCGAGAGTAGCCGTAACACACCACACGCATCCGTCACATCATCACCAGTTCAAAAGCACTGTATCCATGCACAGTAGATGGTATCACAAAGTCTGCTATGGATTCTCCCCCCCCCTTTCACCACCCCGCCCCCGCCTCCCACGCCTCCCACGCCTAACCACATTTACGCGTCGGGATTCCGACACCTGCCCGAATGCATGATGTGACGCCATTGCAAACGAGCTATGGGATTGACACGACGAGCCGCAAAACAACCATTGCAATCGAGAAGCCGGATCTACACGACTAGACACACGAGGCAAATACACAGAAAAAAAAAGTACGTCGTGGTCCTAAGGAGACGGCAATGAAGGAACGGCAAAGGTGATGCGCCGGATGCGCCAGACCGCGCCGTAGCAAGTGGCTGCGCGAATTCAAGATTCCCTCCCCCTGCTGCTCCGCAATTCCGCCCCCTTTCCCACGCTAAGGCCGACATTATCACGCCGTCACGGTCACTCACCTCCTTGCCCTCCCTTTCCACCCCCCCCAATCTCTCATCCTTTCCAACCCCACACTTTACTCCATGCTCCTCCCTCCTTCCCTCCCCCTCCTCATCCTTCATCGCTTCCCTCCTACATCATATATCCTGCCTCCTCTTCATATTCCTGCTATTGCTCCCACTCTCCCTCCTCCTCTTCCTCCTCATCATCATCCTCCTCGTCCTCGCCATCCTCCCGAACCTCAACATCATCGTCAGCATGAGCATCAGCACCATCATTATCCTCATCATCATCATCAACAACATGAACCTCAACAACAACATCAACATTAACCACATCATAAGTAGCATTATCCTCATCCTCCTCATCATCATCCTTCATCGTCATCATCATCAGCAGCATCCTCATCATCATCATCATCATCATCATCATCAGCATCATCATCAGCTTCATTATCATCCCCATCCTCATCCTCATATTTATCCTCATCCTCATCACCATCACCATCATCATCATAGTCATCAGCTTCATCAGCATCAGCATCAGCCTCGGCATCGTCATCATCATCATCATCATCCTCATCATCATCATCATCATCATCAGCATCATCATCATCCTCATCATCATCAGCATCAGCATCAACATCGTCATCATCAGCAGCAGCAGCATCAGCATCAGCATCTCAGCTTCAGCCTCAGCCTCAGCCTCAGCATCATCATCCTCATCATCATCGCCATCAACAACATCATCAGCACCAGCATCATCAGCATCAGCATCATTATCCTTACCCTCTCCTCCACTTCCGCCCTTCTCCTGCCCATACCTCCCGCCAGCTCCCCGACGCCCCCTCTCGCTCCCCATCCCCATCCCTATCACTCCCCTCTCCGTCCCCCCCTCCCTCTGCACATCTGGGGACTTCCTTCCCTTCGTTTATTCCTCTAGCGCTACCAGGACCTCCGAAGTCGCGACATGTTCACGGCCTGGGAGACCCCCGAACAAAAACTCCCGGGCCCACTCCAGGGACCGTTTGTTCGCGCCGCGGGACGCTGTCTGATTGTGCCGGCGGGCGGGGACGAGAACGCGAGGCGGGGATGTATTCATAACCGCCGCCTGAGGGATCGATCTTCTGGGACTTTGGCAGGCGGTGCGCATTTACGTACAGTTGCCCCCCCAGGGCCCGAATACCTATACTCCCAAAACAATGCTTGCTCTTAGGGCTTCTACTTCTATTCAATGAACTGGGCCGTGTGGTCGGTCTGGCGGCTATGGTTCTGCCGTCGCCGCACTGTCACCGCCTCGTCGGCGCCCATCGTCTGGACCGTGTGGTCGGTCTGGCGGCTAGTTCCAGCCGTCGCCGCCCAATCGCCGCGTCGTCGCCGCCCGGCGCCTGGGCTTGTCAGCCGGTCTGGCGGCTATGTTGTCACCGTCGCCGCCCGGTCGCCGTCGTCGCCGCTCGTCGCTGCCGTTAGAGTGCAACGCGTAGATTGCACGACACAGAGTGCAACACATATACTGCACCACAAAGACTGCACCACGTAGACTGCACAACATAGATTGCACCACACTGACTGCACGACAGAAATTGCAAAACATCTGTTGTACTATACTTTTCCTTTCCAAAACAAGAATAAGATCTACTTCCCCCCCCCCCGACTGAACGGTCCGCTTTTCGGTAGGGCAATTTACAAATGATCTGCCCCATCGTCCATCCAAAATATGCATCCGTACCATCCCAGAGTCCCTGTATCGATCCCCACATCCGAAGGCAGAAGGCATGTTTCGCAACAGGAGTTTTCAAACAAAGAAAACCTGGCGAAGGGCCCAACCAACTGCAGTTGTGAGTACCGTCGTTGCCGGTATCGCATTCGGGGGATCTCCTCATGGAGCCGTGAAGCATGCGAAGGGTGTGCCGATGTGGGGCGGGGCCGTGGACGCTGCCGCTGGGGATTCACACGGAATCCACTATGGGACTATGGGGCCGCGAAGCGTGCGAGGGGTGCGCCGCAATGTGGCGGGGCAGCAACTGGGACCTTCGGCGGAGCTCCCCTTCGGGTCACGAAGTGCTGCACCGGGTGAGTTAAACGCGTGCGAACACCGCCACTAGGGCCCTCGGTGGAGCTCCCTTTGAGGCCACGAAGCGCTACACTTGGCAGGGGAAGCGCATGCGAGTGCAGCCACTTCGGCCTTCGGTGGAGTTCCCTATGGGGCCACGAAGCCCTGTACTGAGTGGGGGAGCCGCATGCGGACACCGCCACTGAGGCCTTCGGTGAAGCTCCCTATGGGGCCACAAAGCGCTGTGCAGCGTGAGGGAACCGCATGCGAGCGCAGTAACTGGGGCCTTCGGTGGAACTCACTGTGGGGCCACGAAACGCTGTACTGGGTGGGGGAAGCGCATGCGAACGCAGCTATTGGGGCCTTCGGTGGAGCTGCGTATAGAGCCACGAGAAGCTGTAATGGGTGTGAGTGAAAATGAGAGCGAGAGAGAGGGAGAACAACAAAAAAAACGACGTATGCGAACACCGCCACTGGGGCCTTCGGTGGAGCTAGCCACCAAACGCTGTGCTGGGTGGGGGAGCCGCATGCGAGTGCAGACAGTGGGTCCTTCGGAGGAGTTCTTATAAACGAAACGCTGTACTGGGAAGGGGTCCCGCATGCGAGTGCAGCCATCGGGGCCTTCGGTGGAGTTCCCCATGAGGCCACGAAGCGCTGTACTGTGCGGGGGCCCCGCTTGCGAGTGCAGCCACTGGGCCCTTCGGCGGAGCTCCCCTTTGGGTCACGAAGCGCTGTACGGCATGGGGGGTCCCGCATGCGAAAGCAGCCACTGGGACCTTCGGTGGAGCTCCCCATGGAGCCACGAAGCGCTGTGCAGGTTGGGGATCCGGCATGCGAAGGCAGCCACTGGAGTATTCGGTGGAGCTCCCTATGGGCCCACGAAGCGCTGCACCAGGTGGGGGAGACGCATACTGAGGAGGTCAATAGGCAAGGAGGGGGAAGAGTAGAG